CAGTCGAAGTCAATAGGAACCAACCCAGTACAGAGGGGGATTTTGTTCTCAGGGGCTGATGCTGGGAGGTAGCAGCAAAGTGCAGGCAGACACTGCTATGTGCCACGCAGCCTGCCCTGTGCCCCAGAGCTCACCTGCTACTTTGTGTGGTGGAGAATGCAGCCCCATTGTCTGTGCTGAAGAGTCACCGACAAATCCAGTTGTCTGTCTGTCTGTCCTGCGTGGTCTGGGAAGAGGTGTTGTCTTTTGCTTCCCCCCAGGCAACCAAGTGGCTTGCCATGTCCCTGAAGCCTTGGATAATTATTTTTTACAATTACAGTTGCAGTCCAGACATTTTTAACGATTATGATTACTTGCAGTATACAGAAAGGACAGAAAGGAAACAGAAAGGACTGTTTCAGAAGCATCTGCCTGTCCATTTATAAAAGCAGAACGCTGATCTAAGTAGATGCGGCTTTTCTGCTTTTTTGATGTCTGGTTTTCTGCGAGTGATGCATTGGTAAAAGTCTCCTCTAGATGTCACTGCAACATTGGAGACTCCAGAAACAGCATGGAGTATCATTTACTCAGAAATCTGGTAAAAGTGTCATCGTTCTTATGTGACAGTAAATCATATCGATTTGTTTTAAGTGCTGTTGTTTTCCAATGCTTCTTAATGACTGTTGTATAGCTGAAATCTGGCAGATAGGTTTTTATCACGTGTCATGCAGCCTCATTCATGCAATGTCATGGAACTCATCATTTTACAACATCCTTTTCTCATAGCCTGTGTTTTCTCACTGCTACTTCTGTCTTTACTTTGTCAAGAAGCTCTTAACAGAACTCTGATTAAGGAGAAGACAATGGGATATCTGTGCAATGAATTCTTTTAGTAGCTCTAGGAGCCCTCAGCTTGGAAACTTGTGGAGTTAAATACTGGGCAGACTGAAAAAGCTGGGGGTCCTCTCCAAATCTCCTTTCCCCCAGTCCTTAGCTGAATGTCCTGAATATTTGTGGGTACTGAAATAATTTGAAGGGTTATGGTGAACTGTAGAGTTTTGACAGTGACACAGCTGTTGCAAAGGCTGGGAAAGCAAGTTCATCTGAGCAAAAACCCTCTTACAATTTGGGGGAAGGATTTGATCATGCGCTGTCAGTGGGAGCAGAACCAAATATTGAAAGCTCTTAATATACCAGAAGAAAGATGAGGTTTACACCTTAAATATTCAGTGTAAAATTATGAAGAGGAACTGCATCTGATGAGAAAGATTTTTAAAAATATGATTGCGTATGCTTTGAACTGTGCCAAGGAAGGAGGCTATGGGGGCAAGTGGGGAGACTACAAGAGATCCAATCAGTTAGTGATGGGAAGGAGGTACGGCACTGGGAGGGGGACTGGCCAGGTAAAGGGAACGCAGGCCACTCTGTGCTGGTCCGCCACACACTTGCAGGTTTGATGGTTGCCATGTCAGCCTGCCCTCAGGCCTCCAGGTGCTCATTTATATGCCAGGCCAGTGCAGAATGAGACCTCCCTCATCCACAATGAAATAGTTGAAATATTGGTCAGCCTGGCATGTATGACTGAGACCTGGGTCAGCGAGCAGGAGGAGTTAGTCTCTCCTAGTTGGGCCTACTGGGCTACTTAGTTCTGTATCAAGGGAGTCTTGAGGCTTGGGAAGCAGAGGTCACCACAGTCTAAGAATTCAGCCTCTTTCTCTCCTAGCACACTGTCCACCCAGGTCAGAGAGGAGTGTTTGCACCCTGGGCTTGGTCAGTGGGACAGATGGGGGATTCTGCTGGTGTACCACCCTCCCTGCAAGCCATCAGTGTCTCTACCTGAACTGGCAGTGGTGGAAGCAGATGTCATGCTGGTTCTGGGAGATTTTAACATTCATGCTGCAGGCATCCCATCTGGGGCAACTCAGAATTTCATGGCCTGGATGACAACCATCACTGCCTGATCTGTGCAGATTTAGACTGATGGTGGCTTTTCCTCTCCACAAGGGTGGGGAAGCCATTAAGCTGGTCCATCCATGGAGGCTAATGGAGCCACATGATTTTCAGGGGACTTGGGAAGGGGTGCCCACTGTTCTGTTGAGGCTGTGGTTGAGCTGTGGGGCACAGACAGGTGACATGATCACTCCTAAGTGTCCTCTCTGTTGTAGAGCTTGTGGAATGCCCTGGAGCTGAGAGTGATGAAAAACATAGGGAACAGCTTGAGTGTAGATGGAGGAAAGCTCCTACTGGATGCAACTGAGCCCGAGTATGTGCCTTCAATCAGCTATATTTAGAGGAAATGAGGACAGCCAAGAAACAACATCTCACTGCTTCTTTTGCCACCCAGAGGAGCTTTTTAGGGTTGTCAGGGACTTATAGAACCATCTGAGACCCACTGCAATTTATTTGCTAGACACTTCCAGGAAAAGAAGCAAAGAAACATAGAAACAGAGCGAGTCAGAAGGGGCCTCCCGGGCCATCTAATACCACCCTCCCTGCAAGCTATCCCTGGCTCCAACCGGCTCTGCTCACGACATGCCCACCATGTGCATGTCCAGCCTATCTTTGAACACCCTCACCGATGGGGCCTCAACAACCTCCCATGGAAACTCTTGTATCTGCCAGGACTTAGATTTCAGAATTAAAACAGTGGCATCTGTTGAGATACCCGGAGCAAAGGTTGGTCCAGTATTATTGGATGAGTTTCAATTGGTACAGATCAAGCATGTTGGCAAAGTGATTGGCCAGGTTCATGTAATCCCCTCTGCATTGGATCTTAGCCCCCTACTGACATATAAAAGCTATCCAGGAAGGGACAATTGGCTGGGCCAGGCAAGTGTTTAATGTCTCCTTGCAAGCAGGAGTAAGCCCATGCCTCCTGAAAGAGGCAGCAGTGAGACCACTTTTGAAGAATTCCTCCCTTGACTTGGAAGACATTAATAACTTGAGGCTGGTAGCAAAAGATCCTTTCCTGGCCAGGGTTCTGGAGAAGGGTTGCTAACCAGCTCCAGACACTCTTGGATGAGTCTGATTCTCTGGATCCATTTCAGGGGGGTTCAGGCCTGGTTTTGTTTGCAGAAATAGTTCTGGTTACCTATGTCAGGAGAGAGAAGGGGGTGTGTGGCCCTGTTGATTTTTGTGAAGCTCTTAGTGGCTTTTGGTATCACCAGGCATGGGATCCTTTTCTGGTGACTCTTGAGTTAGGAGTGGGGATACCGCGTTGCAGTAGTGCCACTCCCACGTGCGGGGCCATCTTCAGAGGGTGGAGCTTGAAGAACATTGTTCAACCCTATGAGTTCCTCAGTGGGATGTTCAGTCCCTATTCTATTTAATAGCTACATGAAACTGGAATCTTGGAGTGTGCTTCTGCTTCTGCTTTTCATCAGCAGCTGGCAAGACTGTGGATGTGCTAAACAAGTGACTGGTTGCAATAATGGACTGGATGAGGGCTAGCGCTCTGAAGCCCGAACCATACAAGACTGAGAAGTTGGTGGCTGGTTCTTCTGATCTGATGGCAGTTGTTCAGCCTGCTCTAGATGAGATCGTACTTCCCCTGAAGGAGAAGGTTCATAGCTTGGAAGGTCTCCTTGATTCATCTTTGTCACCTGAGGCTCAGGTGGTCTCAGTGGCTCATACTGCCTTCAAGCAGCTTTGGCTATCGGCGCAGCTTTGCCACTATCTGGAGAGTGATAGCTTGCTTTCAGTAATCTTTAAGCTAGAGTACTGCACTCTGTGTGGGGCTGCCCTTGCAGACTGTTCAGAAGCCATAGAGAAGCAAGGACATGGAGCCTAGAGATAAGAAACTGAACCAGAAAGTTGAGTTTGGCTAGAATGTCCCACATTGATTTGAAAGAACCTTCCAGGTCTTTGGTTTCGATCCACTAGTAGTGATTACTTGATGGGTAGAAACTTTTAACCAGCTGCAGTTGAAGCACCTACCTCCATCATGCCCAGTGCAACAACTGATTACCTGAAGTTTAAGATCACCCAAATCTTTATTTGGCTGCAATGTCTGTCTACCTTAAAAAAGAAGTAAGTAAGGGGGAGACATGATAGAGGTGCACAGCATTATCCATGGGGTGGAAAAAGTGAATAGGGAGACATTTTCTTCATTCACCGATAATGCTAGAGTGCAGGATCAATGAAGTGGCTTGGCTGTAGCCCCAGGATACATAAAAAGAAGTACTTCAAATGGTGCATAATTAAAGCATGAAATTCACTATGATGAGACATGATGTCCACCAACTCGGTGCCTCAGCAGGATGTTGTTGTAATTCTGTTGACTTTGCTGAAGCACATAGCTTGATTTTTTAGAACTGTTGGTCATCAGAAAAAGATAGAACAATGAAGCATATAATAGGCAGCTACCAAGGCACTGGGGACTTGAAATTTTGGACAGTCAGCTAGTAAAAAATACAGCACAAAATAACTATGTACAAAAGCACCATCAACATTTTTTGGCTGGGGGTTGCATCAAATTGATTTCTGCACGTGTGTGTGTGTGTGTGTGTGTGTGTGTGTGTGTGTGAGAGAGAGAGAGAGAGAGAGAGAGAGAGAGAGAGAGAGAGAGAGAGAGCTGTCCAAATCAGAAAGACAGCAATAGATTTTTACTGACTTCCCCACAGTAGACATTCCATTGGGAATTTCAGCCAAAAAAACTTTGTCTCAATGAGGCATATGATGGGAAATATAATAAATAGTGAGTAAGTTCTTTTACCACAGCTAAACCACAGATATATAGACAACAGTTCATCATTACATACCTTCCCATCAAATAAACAGATGGCATTGTTTGGAAGCAAAGGCCCAGGAAAGCTTTCTTTAAAGGATGATTGGTCAGTTCAACATGGGCATGCTGAAGCTCCAGGGAAATGGGAAATAATTGCAGATACTGTCAGAGGTTGGATTTTGATTGGGAGTCATGGAAAATCTGTGCTTACAGAAGGAAATGCAAAGTTTTGCCAAGGAAATATGTTACAAAACCTTGATTAGGGGGCTAACATGTTTGCTTATTTTTCCCATAGGAAAAGTCATATCTGACTGCAAAGGGAACAAAATCTATAAAAAAGAAGAAGCCACCTGATACCTCAGGTTAGTTTTTTCCCCCTCAAAATGAACGTCAAATGCCATTGTTTGTTCAGCCTTGTGCCCTAAGCCTATCAACCCAGGGTATTCTGGGAGGAAATGTCTCAGCTGTGGCTTCTTGCCCATGGAATCTATGCCAAGTCTGTATTTCTAGACCAGCTAGTTGAATACCATTTCATAGTCAGCCAACTCTTATGCTAGACTGCCTAAATGTATTCCTGCAACTAGTGTACTGTGTTACTTACCAAACAGACAATTAATTAAACGTTTGTGCCAGGAGATTACATATTACATCAAAATGATTATCTCTATCACTATAACTTGCGTTCTCTGAATCTGTGGAGGTTTGTTTAATTCACAGCAAAGAAAACTTGGGTAGGCATTGGCATCAGTGCAGTAATAAAATATAGAAGCAGCAGAGCAAAAAGAGCAGAAACTTTGGGTTTTGGGGGGGGCATTTAGTGCTTCATAGTTACTATGGAGAGCTAAAACGGTCATCATTAACTTGCAAACCAGTGAATTTAAACCATTTTGGTGTTCCATAAATACCATTTAAAAAAATCAGTATTGCACAATAGGGCAGAGGTGTGGCCCTTGGCTCAAAAATGTCCCAGAGTTGACGACTCCTTTTCTAGACCCTTCATGAACTAACTTTCCACGTAGCTACCATTCAACAGGAAGGCTGAAGAACCATCCCCCTTGGTCCCAGCTTCCTTTGCCAGTCTTACAGCAGTTGTAGATTGTTCTTGTTTCAGGTGGTACACAGCTGCTGTTGATCCAGACCTCCTTTCATGTCTGCTGAGCTGCATTTTCAGCTGTAGTCCCATACCCACTTGGGAATGGCACCCATCAAATGCAACAGGATTTTAGTTCTTTGGGCTGTGAATTAACCAAGATGTGATGTGTCATCACACTTAGCTTTTTACCACTTTGTGAGTGGCAGCCAGTGAAGTGAAGCAGAGGGAGCACAAGGCATTTGCAAGACTTGTCTTGTTTAAGCAAACAGTACTGGAAAATCACAGGACAAGGAGTGGAGGGACAGCAAGAAAGCATTCACTCTAACATGCGTAGATGGGCCCTTAACAGATGGAACACTTGTCTGGCCATGCAGTTTACCTTAGATGTTAGAAGTTTGTTTTATGGGCAAGTCCCTGGCTCTCAAGAAGCAGAAACAGGTCCAAGCAACTGTAATGCTGGCTGTGCAAGTTGTTCTTGCATTGAAATCACTGGTATTTTATGTTTGGCTCCAGAGGAATCTGATGAAAAGAGTGAATCATATTCTCACTCCGAAAAGGTCCATATACTCAACAAGGAGAATACTGAGAAGGCAAACACGTTTTTTGTTCAGAAAAGTTCTCCTAAAACTCATTCTCAAGAATCAAAAGAGAATGCAGAAGAAAGCCACAGCAAGGCTTGGAAAAACTCTCTTCAGAAGACAACAGCAAAAAGCCAGACTGAAGTGACAGCCAAGGAAACAAATAAAAAACAAAGTCCCCAAGATACAAAGGGTAATGCACTGGGACTTGTAAAGAAGCATGAGGGGTCTGAAGAAAGCCCAAAGGAAGTAGGAAAAGATGCAGAAGGAACAGACACGATCGGGGATAAAACGACATCCCAGAGTGAAGATTCCGCAGAAGATGTTGTTGGTCCATCAAAAAGCCAGGATCAAGATATCAAGTAGGTTTTTGAATATCATGTAATATTAGTACATGCGTATTCCTTCAATGTCATGCTGAGCTTATTGGACTGCAGTGGTTGTTATATATAATCAACAATAGACCCGGATGTGAGTTGTGTCCCATGCCCAAACATGAACCATATAAAGCTTTAAATGTGCATAAAAATGTTGTGCTAGTTAAAACCAAAGTAAGTGGTCATGTTGGTTTGCATGGAACAGACTAACATTTATATGAAAAATCCAGCTTGACTGAGTCTGTTATTTAAGAATCTGTGTTGCTGGGTGATTATTCTAGTATTTAAACAGTACCTTCATTGAGATGACTAATATTTGAATATTCTTTTTTGCCTATCCTGTGGCGTTAGCTTCTCCCTCTTAGAATGATATAGAATTTTGTTTTGGTCCAATATAGTCTCATGTTTGCTGAGCCTACTAAGCACAGTATATTTGAAGATACCAATAAAGTACTACATTTGTCTTCTAACCTCTCAGAAAAACCTAGTAGTGTAAAAACAAGCTGATTTGTCAACCTACAGTATACATTAGGATAGTATTTATATAGAACTAGTTAAAGCAAGAACCATGTCACAGCAAGTTTTCACTGCAGGGCAGAACCATACAGATATATCTTTTTAAAATGATGTTCAACCAATTAGATTTCCAAATTCCACAGATATTCTAAGAAAATTTTTGAATTATCTCTTAAGAGTCAGTTGCTACTGATAAATTATTGTACTGGCCTTGCCTTGATCTGCACAAGTAGACGCATGAAGTGGTAATGTATTCTGCCACTTCAGGCTGCAGGGATGGACAGCCTGGAGCCCATCAACAGCAAGTGATCCTTAAGGTATTATGTTATAGCTCTAGACTCACATTCAATTCCCTGTATTTCATTTTTCATAGATGCTGCCAAAATCATTTGAAATCATAATGACAAGGTGCTGATGTGCTGGAAACCAGGCAGCAAGTACAAAGCGGAAGCAAATGCATCAGTTGCTTCACCTCTCAAAAACACTCCTCAGTGAACAATGCACTGAGCTCCACCAGCTCCTCAGAGTATGTTGTGAAAGCTGGAATGGATTCCACAGTGTACTCTGGACAGGTAGAAAGAACATGTCACAGGAATGTGCAAGGCAGTGGTGAAGACACCAACTGCTTTCTGCTTTCAGAATGGATCTGGTCCTACAAGTGCTAAGTGCATTCTACTACACTGACCATTAAAAGGCATAAAGTCCATGTTCTGTTCACTAGTTAAACATGCTTTTCCTGATCATTGTCATAAAACATGAACCCTAAAAAGTAATGAGCATCTGATTTGTTTTGTTGCTTCTCACTCTCCCATTTGCTCCAAAGGTGGCATGAGAATAATCTACATTTTCTCCTGTAGGCATAAAGACAATGACAAAACCTCGTTCCCTCTGAAAGATGAGCAAACAAGCAGCAGCAAGCGTCGTGTGCATGATGAAGGTTTTGCCAAAGATGACAACAAAAAGAGCAGAGTGGATGCAGCAAATAAATACAAATCCAAAGAAGTTACTAAGCCAACTAAGGCAGAGCCTGCCTTATCAGAGAAAACGAAAGGATCTGGTTCCACAGCCAACAAGAGAAAAAATAGTCAAGAAGCATCAGCAGCAGACAGTGCTAAAACTGGTACAAAGTAACTGTAAAATACATATACAGGGCAATGGCTAAGCAAAAAGAATATACCTTTAATTAATTTCCTACAAGGGAATAGAGTGACACGCGCTTCAGAAATGTTATGCTGTTAATCCTCATCTGCAGAAAATCCTTTTGTTTCAGTTGAAATGAGACTGAAGTGTCTTTGCTGCTTGGCGTTTTTGTTTTTCCCTTTCCCCGCTTTTTAGTACCATAGGTTTGCAGTCTTTGCTTAACCTATACATGTTAAAAAGTGCATTTTTAAAAATGTAGTTTTGTTTGTTTGTTTTTAAGTAATGGTGCAATCCTGAGAAAAATGAATGTGCTTAAGATTGGATTTACAAACTCATGCTTTAATAGAAAGATCTCACCATAGAGTGAAAACTCATTGTAGCCTTTAGGTACCTGTTCTTACAAGGGGCAAAACAGTAGACTTTTTGCAGAAAGATTTCACATAATTGTCTTTCTGTGCCTAGAATGGTGTTTTGAATTATTCATCAGAAATATTTACACACCACCTTCATTATCAAATCATAGTGCAGTGCACTAATCACAGGGCACTGTCCACTTAAAACCACAAGATAAAACATGGGGATGAAAACAAATGAAGAAGAAAAAAATAAGCTGGGTAGGAAAACATATAGATGCAAAAACAACAACCAGAATAGGGCTTGTTGCTCTGCAATGTGGAGAGAATGGTGGGGCACTGCTACACAAAAGAGGCTCCCTGGTTGCTGCCAGATAGACCTGTGCGAGAGATGGGACAGCTCAGTCATAGATGGATCTGTAAGATGGATCCAAGATGCTTGGCAAACTCTGTTGTTAGGATTCATTTGGATCAATCTGAATAGACAATGTATTCTCATAACATGTTTTCATAAGTGAGCATCCACACAAATCCCTCCCAGTAATGATCTGATATAAAACCTTGCCTTCATCTGGCAACTCCATCTCTGAATTCTCAGGGAGGGTCCAGTTGCTAGGTTACCGTGATACAACTCTTTCACCAAAAAGTTGGCTCTGGGTAGCCATGACAACCACACAAGAAGACTTCATATCTCATCACTTCCTCCATGTATCTCCAGCTGCAGGTGTGTGACTATAATGGCAGCATGGCTGAAGCTCCAGGGGTCCTGCACTGCTCATGGCAAACACTGTTGTTCACTCAGAGATGTGGTGGCAGGATCCAGGGCAGTTCCTCCCAAGCATGGATAGAACAGAATCCAGTTCCAGAACAGTTCTGGTTGCTTCTGGGATGGGAGGGGACAACTGAATCAGAACTACCCAGGCATCAACCTGGAGCATGCATGAATTAGGAGTATGATTTCAGGTTTTGACATGAGGAGGAAGACAAGGACTATTCAGTCGTTTTGCCAGGAGCCACAGCAGGGCTCCAAAGCCTGCTCTTAGATGTATTCAAAATCAGATTTAACAGGATCAGTCACTGTGCTTATTTGTTTTAACTTCTAATGGAGTGCTTCAGAGGACAATAGAACATAAAATTTGAAATAAGCAGGCACCGCAATTGCCCTCCTGTGCTTTGTAAATGGCAACCCTGAGTGTGTGCAGCAGGGCTGGCCATGTTGAAGAAGCTCCCAGAGCTATACTGTATTGTATAGCTCTCAGAGCTATACAATACTCTGGAACCTTCTGGATTCTAAGATATTCCATTGCAGGATGGAGAATTCTGACCAGGTGGCCTTGTGTCCAACTTTAGGGAGCACAGTCTGTAAAGGTGTCACACATGTGCCAGGTGCTACAAAACCTCCTTGTGTCTAAGTGTGCATAGAATCAGTCCCTTAAAAGAGTGTATGCACTGCTTGTTTCTTGGAAATGATGCATAATGAGCATAATATGCAAATGACTTAGAGCTTCTCTGTGGCAGGTAACACACACTTCATCTTATCCTTTGCAGATGATGGTCCACCACCCCCGGCCCCCTTTGATCATCGGATTGTCTCAGCAAAAAGAACAGGGATCAGTAGCTCCTATCATGTCCACAAGAGTGAAGTTTTGGGAGGGTAAGTCCATCTGGAAATTGTTAGCACAATGAGGAATCTCATCAAATTATTGAAGGTTGTTTTTTTTTAAGTAAAGCAAAATAATACTGTTGTGCTTCTTAGGCAGTAGAATAACTAGGACTGGATGGTAAGAAAGGCCACTCCAAGTGTAACTTGGACAAGGTCACAAAGTTGGCATCAAAGGCCATGCAACATGTTGACTGAAATAGGATGCTCAAAATCGTGCTCCTTTTCATGTTTTTGCCTTTTCATGTCATATTTTCAAGGCAGCAGTAAAAAGCTATAGAGTGGCAACCTCAAGAGCTTAGTGAGGGCAGCAATCCCTTTTAAGGTCCACAACCATGCTTACTTCAACCCTCAGTGCTTTCAGATGGACACCTCCTAATGCTACCACTCAGAAAGACATTAATTGTGCAGCTCTTCCATCTTTCCATCCTTCAAGGATTTCTGTGGTGAGAAAAAGAGAGAGAAGCAGCAGTGGAAAAACATGGAGGGTTAGAAATGGAAGATGATGACATCTAGCCCCCCTGAAACATTCAGTGAATGAGGGGGTGTGATTCCACAATAAATACTGCATGTGGAAGCACCCCCAGGGTCTTCAAATCACTCAGTGCAATTTAGGAGCCAATCCAGGGGAACTTCCATAGTTTGCCTCCTCTAAACTTACACAGTATGCCTCCCTTTGGTATTTTTCAGCTTATTTTGGGCAAAGTTGTTATTTTGGGTAGGATGTTAAAGGTTTCTAGAGGCCCAGTAGCCAAACTAAGAGAGGAATTAAAAGCCTGATGTTCTTCCCTTGTGATTGAGATTACATGCATTAATTGGCAGGCCGAGCAGCAAGTTGAAGTATGGAGACTTCCCCTTTGAAATGGAAAATGAGAACTGATGTCCTTCCCAGTTCTAGAAGCCCCTTAGTGCAGCTAAGTCAGGTCAAAAGATGATATAAAAGACAATGGGTTTTGCTACCCTAAAAAGGGATCTCCGACAGAGAATGGTGCTGTTGTGAAGAGAACAGTCTAAGGACATCAGAAGAATCTTGGATCAGCCCAAAGGCCTTGTCTGCTAGTCCAGCATCTTGCTTCTTACAATGGCCCACTGGATGCCTCTGGGAAGCTCACAAGTAGGACATGATAATGACAGCATCATTACATTCTAGATAGCACAGCTGGTCCTGGAGACAGGATATAGCCCTCATAACTAGTAGCCCTGATAGCCTTATCTGCTTTGAATGGATCTAATCCTCTTTTCATAGGAATTCCAGAGCATGCTTGCCTGATCAGACCAAAATATTCTCCTAATGTCCAAAGGAATGATGTTTTCAAGCTGAATGGATCCTACATTCAGCAAGCGCTCTCTCTCTCCCTCTTTTTCCTTCAGTGGACGATTTGGCCAGGTGCATAAATGTGAAGAAAAATCAACAGGTCTCAAATTAGCAGCCAAAATTATTAAAGCCAGATCTGTCAAGGAAAAGGTAAGAGGAGCTGGGCTGTTTGCTGCAGAACTTGGCATATGAACAATAAAATCTGTCATATCTGGTTGTGTCTGGCTCTTCACAGGGGTGGCTGCTGGTTGTACCAGCTCCTCTCGGCCTTGGTTTATTACGCTTGAGCTTGCAGGTCTGCGAGGAGAGTTGTTTCCTTCCCACATTACCTGTCTGAATCCCAGTTCCACAGGGTCAGTACACTATAACTGGACTTCTTGCAAATCCACAGTCAACTGTACTAATTCTACTTTCTTTGCATTCATTTGTGGTAGGAAGATCCTTTTTCCTTATGTAATTAATTTTCTCAACTTATATTCTTCACCTAGAAACATTTTTGTGAGATTCCCTGTTGCTCTTAGGAAGCTGCCATACATGTAAGTCAGGCTATTTGGCCATCTCAACCAGCATACAGAGCAAACCAGTACATGTTTATGCAGAAGTGAATCTGACTGAGTTCAATGGGGCTTCATCCTATAGAATTGCCGACATCATCTAGTCTGATTGGCAGCTGTACTGCAGAGCCTTGGACAGAGGTCAACCTGATCTTCTGAATAGAAGATGCCCAGGATTGAACTTGGGACCTTCTGAATGCCAAGCAAATTATCTGTTACTGAGCACAGTCTGGAGTACTCTCCTTATCTCACAAAGCTTGGGAGGAATTTATCTGGCTACATACCTGAACACAGGATTTTCCCACCTTTCATACTGGTATAATAAACTTACCATGTCCATATACCAAAAACCTTCCACTGGTTTCTTTATCAGTTCAAAGCAATGAAGCTATTGGTGGGAGGGGTAGAAAAGATCAAAGTTAGTACTTCTGCACACAGCATATAGTTATAGCTCCAATTGCTGAGGAGCTGGGGCAGATAGAGGTCTTGTACCCATCCCACTTGGGGGATCCTGTGGGCAGCTGGCTTGCCACCATGGGCGTGCAGCTGGACTAGATGGACCTTGGGCTTTTCTTAGGTTCTCCTGCCACCACAGAATTGTGCATGATCTCACTTCCTTGTTGCAGGGAGATACATGCCCAACCTCATCATCTCACAAAGGTGCTTCAGTTGCCGCATGGTATGAATTGGATTTAAGCATTCTACAGTGAAAAAAACCTGTGTATAGAATATACAGGTGTGCATTTAGAAACTGCTGTACGATTTCTGGATACCAGAGCATGGTTCTAGATATGTAATATTTTGGTTATGTCTTCTTTTTTTCATCAGTAGCTTCCATTTCTTCATCAATGCACAATATCTCATTTTGTGTACCTTAGGCTAACAGACAATATTGTAGCAATTTTAATTCTCCATAAAATTAGCTCAGTGGGTGTTTTTGTTGAAGGCTTCCTAACGTTTGAACTTTCAGAGTTGTGACTCAAAGAATATGTGATTGAACTTGTCAAATTAAAGGGTGGGGACTCCCTTGAGTGCCATTTTGGGAAGAAAGTGGGATACAAAACAAATGAAACAAACTGAAAAGGGCAGCCCCGAGGTCAAGGGGTGCTCCTTCCTAGCACAACTCCTGCTGCAATTTTACACCTGCTGTCCTTGCATTCTTCACAGGATGAAGTAAAGAATGAGATAAACGTGATGAATCAGCTGAACCATGTGAACCTCATTCAGCTGTATGATGCCTTTGAATCAAAAAATGACATTGTCCTCGTCATGGAATAGTATGCACCCATTTCATATTTCCTCTGCTTCCTTTTCTTGGCTGTGTCTTCACCAGTAGATAAATAAATTCAATCACCACCTGGCTGCTGCACACCTCTCCCAAGATACAAGTTTTGGGAACATGGGTTTGCAGGCTGGAGGTGCACTTCTTTGGATTCCCTTGGTCTGCTGTTCTTTCCTGCTGGTAGGGTTTAGGATGGGTGTGGGGCTCCCTGAGCAGAGCATCGATCAACATAGGATTGCATCCTGAATCAGTTGCAGTGTTGTGAACAGGTCTTTCCCTTGCTCTTGCTCTCTCTAGCAGACTCAGATGAGACTGTAGAAGTACACTCTTTTTATTACATTATTTTATTACAGGTGGCAAGGCAATAAAAATCAAAGCAGCCTTTGCTTTATGTTTAGGGGGAAACATCTGCCCATGTAAAGAGTTGGATGCCAACTTGTTTCCCCTCCTTCCCTCCCTTTCAGAAAAGCTTCTGAGGCTGCTTTCAGGGTAGCTCCTGCTACCCGAGGGCTAGATGGAAGGACTGCTGGGCACTTTGCAGTTGGAATTCCTTCTTGGCCAGCTCTGCCCCCCTTCTGAAATGTCCCCCCCCCCTTTTTCTAGGCAGGCTGATTCTCACATTCTGTTGGAGAATCTTGCAGCTGACTCTGACTCTGCCCCTCCACCTCCTCCTCCAAACAGGAAGGATCTGCCTGAGCAGACTGTAAAGGGAGGGAGCTGGGCCCCTCTCTACATACTTTCAGCATCCTATCTATGGGTGAGCATTAGGACTATTTCTTTTTGCACCTTCAACATTAAAAGGCACTTTCAGAATCCGGAGTGTATGCTTCATTAGGAGACTCTGACACCGAAGGAGGAGGAGAAAGGGAGGAGAAGGAGGAGGAGCAGCTGCCACCAACTTCATTGCATGGTGCAGAGAAAGTGCAGAGGGGAACATTTTTCTCCCTCTCCTATAATACTCAAAGCCAGAGCCATCTCATGAAGCTGACTGGTGAGAGGTATAGGACAGATAAAAGCAAGTACTTCTTCACGCAGAATGGAATACGCTGCCACGGGAAGTGGTGATGGCCACCAGTCTGCATGGCTCTAAAATGGAACTGATGGCTTCTCCATGGCTGCTAGCCCTGCTGACGGCGTGTTGCCTTCTTTCCCAGAGTTATCATGCCTGCAAACACCAGTTGTGGAGGAGCTTGGACAGGCAGAGGTCTTGTACCCATCCTGTTTGAGGGAACCTGTGGCAGCTGATCTGCCCCCATGTAAACCAAGTGCTGGACTGAATGAACCCTTGGTCTGAGCCAACATGGCTTTTCTTATGTCCTTATCCTTGTATAACAGACCAAGATGCCAACTTGGTGCTCAGTCCATCTCCAGAGACTATTATTTTCCATTCACCCTGAACCATTGCTCCACTAAACCAGATCTTCATGCTTTTCCTACCCTACATAGCTTTATTTTTTAAACACACTAATATACCCTAAGCTGTGAAAACCTCGAATCTGTACATTATGCATGGATTTTTAAAAAATGCTGATATAATTCATATGGATTTGATTTTTTTCCCTCTGGTGGTATACATGTGTTTACATGGAATGCTCACCCTGGACTATGCACTCCTTTCGCAAAATGAATGTTGAATTAAGTCTCCTTCTTTCTTCAGTGTGGAGGGAGGAGAGCTGTTTGATCGAATAATTGATGAAAACAGCAACTTGACAGAAATGGATGCCATCTTGTTCACAAAGCAGATCTGTGAAGGGATACAATACATGCATCAGATGTACATTCTCCATTTAGACTTGAAGGTACTGTACATTGGTTATACCGGCCATGTGATTAATCCAGCAGTTAGGGAAAATGCAAAGGATCATAGAATAGTAGAGTGGGAAGGGGCCAGAGGGCCATGAGGTCCAGCCTCCTGCTCAGTGCAGGATGCCAAGTTAAAGATCCCTCTTAGCCGGCTGTCCAGTTGCATTGTAAATGCCTCTAGTGTGGGAGAGCCCACAAGCTTCCCATGTAATTGGTTCCATTCTCATACTCATCTAAGAGTCAGGAAATGTTTTCTGCTCTCTAGCTGGAATCTGGCTGCCTTTTATTCTATGTCCTGCACTCTGGGAGGATTGAGAAGAGATCCTGCTCTTCCTTTTTGTGACAGCCTTTCAAGTGTTTATAGTCCTATCATATCTCCTCTCACTCTTGTCTTCTCAAGGCTAAGCATGCCCAGTTCTTTTAATCTCTCCTCTTAGGGCCTTGTCTCCAGTCCCTGGATCATCCTTATTGCCTTCCCTTGAACCCTTTCCTGCTTGTGTGCATCTTTTGGAAACTGTGGTGCCTAGAACTGGACACAGTACTCCAGATGAAGTCTAACCAGTGCTGAATAAAGGGGAACTAGTACTTCATGGGATTTGGACGTGATGTTTCTATCAATGAGGCCTAAAAGAGCATTTGCCCTTTTAGCAGCTACATCACATTGTTGACAGATATTCAGCTTGCAATCTATAACAATTCCAAAATCTTCTCACTTGCGGTATTATTAAGCCATCTTGTAATGATGCATTTGGTTTCTTTTTCCTAGTTGCAGAACTTGGCATTGATCCCTACTGAATTTCATTCTGTTGTTTTCAGCCTGGTGCTCCAACCTATCAAGATCATCTTGAGCCTTCTTTCTGTCTTTCAGGGTATTAATTGCCCCACCCAGTTTTGTGCCATCTGCAAATTTGATAATCACCCCTGCACTTCCTCATGCAAATCATTAATACAGATGTTGAAGAGCACTGGGCCCAGGGCTGAGTCCTGCAGTGCCCCATTTGTTACTTCTCCCCAGCTTGAAAAGGTGCCATTCATAGGCACCCTTCCAGTCCTATTCTGTAGCCAAGTGTGGATCCACCTGATAGTTGTTCCATCTCGTCCACTTTCAGCTAGTTTGCTAATCAGGATATCATGGGTCACTTTGTCAAAAGTTTTGCTGAAGTCAAAATAGATTATTATGTAGTTCCCAGATTCTTCTTTTTTCCCTTTCTTGAAGACAGGGACAATATTAACTCATTTCCAGTCATTTTCTGTGGCCAAACACATCATTCCCAGTCCTTCTATGATGCAACTCATCCCTTGCCAGCAATCCATCTTCCAGGAAGTGTACCCATGGCCTTAGAATCCAAATCTCTCACTTTGGCACTTCCTTCATAGCCAGGCATTGACTTGGAGTATTTTTCTTTCCTTGTCTATTCCCTTCCAAGAACTGGAAGGATTGAAGAGAAAACTATCTGGGCCCCAAAGTTCCTGACTTTCCCCAAGCTTCAAAGTCTGACATGATTTCTTCAAAGCTCCTCTTGGCAGTGCCATTTGTTCCCACAATGTATAAGGAGGAAGGCATATGTGTCAGTGGGCTGTACGAGCCTTGGCAATCTTTCAATTATATCACTAATCAGTCCTCCAGGGAGACAACATACCTGATGCATCCACAAAACAGGGAGTCTTCCACAGCTAACACTCTTCTTTTTCATTCTTGCAAGCCCTTGTATCATTGCCAGTACTTGGTCAACCTTTAACTTCTTGTTCAGTGTTGCATGGGATGACTTACAGTTCTTCCATTGCAGGCTGCCCTCCAACCTTGAGTAACTGAAAGCAGTTTGATGTTTCACTGGGGCAGAGTGTCTCCTAGTTCTTCTGTACCAGTCACCCTTTTCCAGGGAGTTTCCTCCTTATTTTCCCTTACCTCAGGAGTCTCCTCTTCTGCCTCAGCTTGCTGTTGCACTTGGCAGTTGCAGTTCCACTGTTCTGTCTAAAAACTCTTCATCTTCTTCTTTTATTGCCTTGAGGACTCAGGATGTTGACCTCAGGCAAGAACACAAGGATAACACAGATGTTGCAGGTCACCACCACTGAGGAGTCTTCTCAGTCCATTCTTTCTGCTACCTTTTTTATTCTACCTTGTTGTGCCTGTTGTAACAACCAGTGCTTTATCCCATCTTCCCTGAAGGTTAACCACATAGTTCTGTCAGTAAATGGCAGTGTGTTACAAGGAAGAAAACGGGTGAGAGGTAGGGGTGTGTGTGTGTGTGTGTGTGTGTGTGTGTGTGTGTGTGTTGGGGTGGGGGGGACTAAGGGGGAAAAGAAAAAAAGAAAACAATGTTAGGGGCCTCTTCCCTGCCAAACTCTTGTTTGCTTTTTCAGATCTCTCACTCTCTAGGAGCTTGGCTGCTTGTATCTTAGAGTTGCTAGATCAGCTGAGGCAGCTTCCTCTGGTCTACTCAGCTAGGAGTCAGGGACCAGAATATATAAAATTCATATAAAATAGGCATATCCCCATACAAATATGGGGAACAGAATGTGTATCTTTGGAGAAACGGCATATGGAAATAAATGTGAATTTTCATTCCTTTGTAAACAGCATTTGCTTACTGATCTGGAAACTGGATAGAATGGATGCATGACTGAATGCATGTGAAACTCACATGGACTGGAAATAGATTCACTGATCTATTGCAGAGCTAAATTCTTCATGCTTTAACAGCAATAGTAAATGGATGTCCAAGCTATGACCAAGAAGACTGTTATGACTGACACTCAACTCTAGGGGCTAAATCAACCTTCCCTGACTTGAACCTTCCAGGCATTTTGCTCTTTCACCCCCATCAGCTCCAGCCAGCATGGGCAATGGTGCGGAAAGCTGGGAGCTGTAGTCCGACACATTTGAAAGGCTCCTTATCTAGAATCTTGAGGACCCAGTCAGGATGCAGAATCTTGTACAGGGTTAGGAGATGTTTAAGCTTTTGTGTCATGGTGCAGCCCTGCTCCAGGTCAGAACTTGTGCCTCCAGTTGATGGTGCCAAAAAATGATATTCGTTTCAATTGATTGATTTGGGGTAATGAAAATAGAAAATGCCAAGTTGTGGGGAGCAGCAGCCACCCCCATTGGGGCCACACTGAGTTGAAGACAAAGGTTAATGCCCTCCTCCCACTGTCCCAGACCCTGATCCAGGTTAATTCTCCTTGCCCTTCCTCTAGAGTAAAAAAGAAGTTGCACAGTCTGGTCCTCTTGCAGGCTGGTTTCTGGCAGCCGGGAAATGTCATTCACTGTCATTCAGGCCAGGCACATCTCTCTAGCTGTAAATGCAGGTCTTGTGGAGGAGAAGTGAGCAGGTGAAGGAGGAAGAGATATGGAGAATGAAGAGCAGCAACCAGCCATCCCAAGCAGCAAGTTGGGAGGCATCCACTTGTTCCCAAGCACCTTGCTGGGATTTGTATCCCACCAGATGTCCAGCCAAGTCAACCATTAACACCAGCGCTGCCCCAATTCTGCTCTAAGCCAAAAATGGAAGCTAGGGCTTCTGGCACATGTGTGTGTGTGTGTGCGTGCGCAGTGTGGCATTCCAGCCTAAGCCAAGCAGTGCATGTTGCCAGGTCTTCTCTCCCTCCTGTTGAGAAGTACACTGAGCAAACCCCAAGAATTTGAGCGCTTGAGGCAAGAATGAATGCATCTTACATGTTCTCAGTTCTGTAATTTCGGAGCTAGTGGGGACCACCTCACTTGCTTCCAGCTACGAGGAAAATCTGATTAATATTCTTGCCAAGCTTTTGTCTGCACAGATCACCAAGTCTGACGCTGAAATGGGCTTGAGATAGCTTATGTCACCTTTAACATTTATTTTTGTTTGATGAAATGCTCACTCTCGTTTAGCGGCATAACTTTGAATTGCTAATGAGGCCAACAGAAGACATAAGTCTCATTTATGACATGTGCTTGGAGTTAACACTGTTCAGTATGACAAATGTAGTTGGGCTAAAATCTTTAAAAACCATTAACCCAAGTTCAGTATCTTACCTGATCTGTGAATTGCAGCCAGGGTTAAGTCTTGAGTCTTCCCGTATTGTCAACATCAATGAGTTGTCCTTGTTTTTACAGGCTTTTTGAGAGGATGCCAGGGGAAGATGCATGAAGGCTCAAAACAGATCTCAGAGAGTTAGCCTTTATTTATTTATTTATTTATTTATTTATTTATCAAAACATTTTTATGCCGCCCCATTCGCCGAAGCCTCGGGGCGGCTCACATCAATAAATTAAAATAATTATAATATAAATTAAAACAAACAAATTCATTATCATCTCGCTAAGAGGCTATGCTATTTAAAATCTGAGCCTTTTATTAGTCCATACAGCAGAGTCCATAAAAACAGGTTTTGGGTAATTTGCCTTTTGACAAGCCAGATGCATTTAACCTATAAGCCTTCCCTCTTAGTTGATACCTGAGAGTATCTGCAGCTGACTTGGCATCAGTGCAGCCAATAATGCGGGTTATGTCCCCTGTTATGCTTGTGGAACAATTACAACTATCAGTATAACCACAATTAGCACTAGCAACATCTCATCTTATGAAATTGCAATGTGTTGTAATCACCTCGAGAATGGGTGAGAAATTAATTTGGACCCCATTCCTAATTTCTGACTTTTGAACCAAGACCCAAACCTTCAAAATTCATCATTTTCTCAATTTCAAAATGAAGTTCTCCAATTAAAAATGTACAAAATATGTGCAAAATGAAAGTAACAGTAACATGTATTACATTAGAAAGATTTCTTGCCAAAAAATAAGACTATACACATAATTGCATACACCATTGCATGTATTAGGAGAAATGTAAGACAAAAATGCATGTAAACTGTTTTTTAAATAATAATTTTCAGTGCTCAAGACAAACTGAACTTTGGGATGGAAAACTGAGCAACTGAAAGAAACAAATTTGTCCATTCCTGGGTTGTTGCAAAGAGCAGTTAGCTATGAAGTCTAAAGCTGGAAGATAAATTTCAAAGAATGGTATAAACGTTTTCTTAAATGCCCCAAGTCAGCTCATAATGGGCCGCAAATCACAACACTGACTTCCTGAGGGCCGGTCAGAGTGCCTGCATTCCACTTCTGAAAGCACAGCTAATGAGTTCTTTATCTTGACTTGCTGCATTATGTCAAACAAGAAATGCCACAGCGAGGGAAAAGCTGTCCTGGCAAAGCATTCCCAGCCTCAAATACCACATGATTACAGTGGGAGGTATCCACAGAGCCTAACCTGCTTCAAGATGCTGGCACTGAGTTGCATATTTTTATGCTCTGCTGTGTTTTGAATGCTGATTCCAGAGCAATTCATTGACCATTTCTCATAAATGAGTGTACTCTTTTTTCCCCCTCTTTCTGGCAGCCTGAGAATATCCTGTGTGTGAACCGAGAGGCAAATCAAATAAAAATTATCGACTTTGGGCTGGCAAGGAGGTATGTTGTTTTTATCCCGCTACTAGCACCTCTCTTTCCCGACACCCAATGTCCATTTGCAGTATTTGAGAAGAAGGCTTAGGTGGCGTTATCCTTTAACCTCAGAGTATTGGGAGGTGGTCAGCCTTGGAGCTAGGTACCCCTCCAGTTGACATATGGGATCAGTAAAGATACGTGTCTCTGCTGCCATGCCTTTTTTATATGTGTTCCATTGCTGTTTGTTAGATATAAACCAAGGGAGAAGCTTAAGGTCAACTTTGGCACTCCAGAATTCCTTGCTCCAGAAGTTGTGAACTATGACTTTGTCTCCTTTCCTACTGACATGTGGAGTGTCGGTGTCATTGCCTACATGTTGTAAGTAGGGCTAAGGCCCAACTATTCAATGCCTTTCTCTGATGTAAGTTTGATGAAGTTCCAAACTCAGTAAAAGGGCAAGACCATTAGCAGGCCAGCCCAAAGGTCATCAAATAACATGCAGGAATTAGAGTTTTCCAGAACTCTTATTCAAGATCAATGGTGAGCAAAACAAATTGAAGAGGGAGAAGAAAAAATCTGGCTGTTGTTGATGGTATGGGGGGTTGGATCCAGATTTGTGCTGTATCAACTGCACTGATGGCAGTGAACCTTTCCACCCACCACTCCTTTCACTTCCTCCAGCCCTTGAAAATACTACACAGGACACTGTTGAATGGGCTCAGCTGGGAACACCAAAAATCAGGTGGAGTGTTCTCCATGGAAGGTCCTCATAGAAGGTCCTCTCATGGAAAGTTCCTTTCTTTTGTGAAAGGCAGGTAGTCCATTCCAAAGTCTGTATTTAATCACAGTTAGGGATGAATGATGAACTCCACAAGGAGATGAGAACCTGATGGACTTCCAGTTTCTGGTTCACCAGCTCCTGAGCAGTGACAAGTTGCTCTTGTGCTAATCAAAGCAGTTTCTGGATTTCAGTCTCCAAGACAGGAAATTTTGACTAAGAACATTTTCATAAAATCAGCCAATTTGCCCAACCTGGTACCCCTAAAGCACATGGTACTCATGTGATATGAACAAAGGATATGCCAATTATGTTTTTGGGGGGTGCTAATTTGTTCAAATTGATTTTACAAAAATTGTGCAAGACTCACGTGCCTCTTTATGCAAAACATGCAAATAGCTTGATTTGTGTAAATGTCTATACTGTTCTAAAAAATGTGCCAACTTCATCTTGAAGATGGAAGTCCATGGGATGGGAGGAAGAACAACCTGGCCCTCTTCCAATCATGAGATCAGAAGCAGGCAGGAAATCTCTTGAGATCAAATAAGATAGATTTGCTAGCACCAGCATATTCATACTCTCAGGCTTAAGATGGAATGTGGAGGAGTATGCAGACATTCAAATTAGTATCTATTAAGTATTATGATGGTTTATAGTTTTGCAGTAAGAGCTGTCCCAAGGGAAGTTGAGATGAAAAAGGTGGGGGGGGGGGAGGATGTTTACCCATATAGATAAATCTAGATGTTAGCTAAACCTGCCTCCACCTTTAGGTTACTGCTCAAATTAACACTAAGATTTTGCTTAAAATTCAGAAGAGAATTACACCTTACCCTTTGTTCTCTTCCTTCCGTAGGCTTAGTGGATTATCTCCTTTTTTGGGTGATGACGATAATGAGACTCTGAACAACATCCTGGCTTGTAGGTGGAACTTTGAAGATGAAGAATTTGATAGAGTGTCTGAGGAAGCCAAAGACTTCATCACTAAGGTTCTCATCAAGGAAAAGGGGTAATCTTCAGTAACCTTTTGTCTTTAGTATATTGCCCAGACAGATGTTGCTGTACCTCAACACTGAATGTGTGTGTGTACATACATAGGTGCCAGATGATGGGGTGTTACTTTTATTGGTGGCATTTGATAAGCTCCACAGAACTATACAGCATTCTTTAAAATTTACCTCAAGTAAAACAAATCATGGAATAATATACACAGCCATAAGAATAAGGTTCCTTTAATCCAATAGGAGAGATCAGGCATGTGCTCATAGTTAGATACTGTTGTTTGTTTGTTTGCTTGCTTGCTTGCTTCATACAATCTACACTGCTGCAAGACTACCCCAGTCTTGGGGTAGATAACAATATTTTAATTATAAATCCCAATTACAGTGGCAGACTCAAATCCCACCTGATCCTTCCTTTTCCTGGGCTAACAAAGACCAACTTGCAGGAAAACATTATGTGGTACTTTCAGAAAATGCACAGAGTTTGGCAGATCTCTAAAGAAAGTGAATTCTGCACAGCAGTTATCACCATCGGGGCACATACGAAGACAATATTTGGTGGCAAATTGGTGTGGACACCTGTTCTGGATTAACAGCACATTCTAGATTAGTGCTTCTGCATAGTTTACAATCATAGAATAGTAGAGCTGGAAGGGGCTGAGAAGACCATCAGGTCCAAAACCAGCTCAGTGCAGGACTCCAAGTTAAACCATCCCAGCTTCTCTTCCATCAAATCAAAGTGCTTAATTTAAGCATGCTTTTGATAAAGCATGTTTAAGGTAATATAATTTTGACTTTGGTGGCAATCTTAATGGCCTTTCAATTGATCCTAATCATCATGATTGAACAAGGGGCTGTTGACTGGGTTAAATACCCAAGTTATTTCCCTCCATTGCCACTGATCTATTAAGCATGTTTCAACACCGATTACCCTCAGTGCTTAAAGCATTGCCTATATCTCACCTATTAATATTGTTCTATTTCTTCTCCTTTAGCTGGAGGATAAGTGCAACTGGAGCTTTGAAGCATCCTTGGCTATCTGACCAAAACCTACATCACAAACTCCAAGCTAAGGTCTGCAGATGTGGCTATTGCAATCATTGATTCTCTTGCTCTTAAGTCGGAACTACTGCTGAGTCGTGCCTCGAATCTGAAGGGAGCTATCTTCATCACCCATAGCAGACACACCCATTTCTCCATCATGTCAATATAGTCACTGCCTTAAGTGTGTGCACCAACCCTATGCAGTGCCTTGTAGTATAGAATATATGAAGTGGCAACAACACCCATTTGATCCATTTCAGTTTCACTGTGCAGAGCAGCAAAATGTGGAAGAGTCATGGGGGCAGGGGGATACTTCTGCAAGGCACTGTAACTCCACTGCACAAGCTGAATCTTTTATTAGGTTTTTGCCCACCAAAGCAGAAACACCCATGTTATTTTCTGTTTTAAACTCTGCACTGCTATGAGTTCAGGCAAGCCTGTTTTTATATCATGTTTCTTTCTCTTGCCTTACAGAGGAAGGCTAAAGGTTCCTCTAGATCTCAGGCACCTGCAGCTCCATAAACTCTTTGAGAAATGGAAGGTCAGTAACAAGTTCTATGTACCATGTCTGTAGAGGGTATCAACTGTCAGGCACATGGCAGCTACTGTGTGGAGAGGTGTCTCTTGCAACTTAGAGGGTTAACTACATGGATTGGTTGAGCTTCTTTTTCTGGTTACTAGTCGCAAGAAAAAGAAATCACCAGATTTTTGTGATGAGCAAATAAAAACATGTGCAGTTACTCAGGGAGACTTCCCCAGGGTAGCCAGCCATAACATGCGCATTGGTCTTCTGGAATTCCAGAAAGTCACAGCTTCCAGTTAGTACTGGCACATTCCATTGTCATGTGTGTTAGTGTGCGTTTAATGTCATTGGGCTTAAGATCCTACACATGCTTCCCTGGCAACGAGTGAGGACATTTGGGCTTCCTTGCAAGTAAAGATATACATAAAGGATCATGCCACATGGCATCAAAAAGACAGGCTTATTAATTTCTTTGATTTAAGGCTGTGCTTGAAAAAAAAGCACAAAAAGAATATTCTGCACTGAATTTTGCCACAAGAACAGCTGAATTTTACTACTACTAGAAACTCCAGGCATGTATTATTGCCCCGTATAGTTTATTTTGTAATTCTAACAGTTTGTTCAGGGCACTGAAATGCTGCCACCATTCATTCCCAGTTCCTGGAAATCTTACTTAACTTTTGCACCACAGTAAAAATATTTTTCTGCTTCTGATTTCTGAAGTTTCAGCAAGTATTGCCCACTAGAACGTGCCTTTTTGTCTTTTAGGAAAGCCGAGCTTTGTAGGCATCTGCTTTCTTGGGCTGTGACCACATTCCGCAGCCATTCTTGTGCTTCCATGAATTGAGACATATACAGAGTCCTAATTCTGAACTGCAGGGATAGGGACAAAATACCCAAAGGCCAGAAAGAGCCACACTGCAAGCAACAAGCTTACTTTACTCACAGTGGATGCCTCAGTGCCTATGACATTTTTCTTTTGCTGTAAGAGAGCAAAATTGCCGATATTTGGGGTGAAACCTTAAACTGAATTAAAGAAAGGCCTCATACCCAGTTACATGCAATGGAGCATCCCCCATTAATAGAATTGCGCGTTCACATTCTCCAGGCAAGAACTCCAGGCAAGAAATTTTAGACCATGAACTGAGGGTGCAGACAGAAAAAAAATCCTACAACTCCCAGCTTGATGGCTGGGGAATGCTGGGAGCTGGAAGGCTTTTTTTCTGTCTGTACTTGCATCAGGTTGCACCCTTAATGGTGGGTGGAGGGGAATTTTTGCATATTCCTTTATTTGCAAAGCACACTGGGAGCATTTCCTTCTCACCACTTGTCCCCGTTTTCCCAACGCTGCTGGCATGTTAAAGCCATGCAAAAATAAAACAAAACAAAAGCCCGCTTTGCCAACTCTAATGCTAGGATGGGGAGGGGTGGAACAGACCCTTGGAGCGGATGCAGTTCCACACTTCGAACTCTCCTTAATTGTATAATCATAACTACAGCAATAAAGGCGACTTTGCTTCTCCTGCTCTGACACTGAAGAGATTTACTAGGGAATAAGCCCCATTTTGTTCCTAGAAAAGTTTAATATTTAAAAGTTAACAAAGCAAACAAATAAAACTAGTATCAGTAACGATGGCTGACTGCCCCAGTATACCTTGTCTGTACTGTTCAGAAGCCAGCGTGCTACAGCGCCCAGTGCCAGCCCCGGTGGGCCTGCTCGTCTTGTCTTGCCTACATCACCTGCTCCTCTCTGGGTGGTCGCTTGGGCCGGAGGAGGCGAGGCTGGACGGTCCTGAGGTCTGACCAGGCTTCGCCACTGGCTCCTTGCACTCAGTGCTAAAAACAAAACCCTTGGCTTTAAACCAGGAGCTTTGGCCTCTTTCACTCCTGGCAGATCTTTGGTCTTTTCATTAGCAAAGGCTCCATTAGCGGTTCTCCGTCTAGCCCCTCAAATCCCAGGGGAGTCATAGCAATGCCGCTCTCTCCTACTTTTTGCACAGAATTATGTTTGATCAACGCACCAGAATCCCCTCTCCCGGCAGAAGCATATCATAAGCTACTGCGTCCATTCTTTTGCAGCCTGTTTTGAAATGACCACAGAAACTGAAGGGCTGTTTTGTTTAGTAGTTAAATAAAGCACCGTGGGAACCAGTTCACAAGACATGAGAGAATATCTGTGGAAGGCTACTTCTGGATGTTGCAAAGGCTGAGAATTCCTGCATTATCAAAACCGCTTGTTGTTATTTTTAAATACCTTGAATATTAACTCTGAGACCAAAAAGATGAAATCTGCCACTTCTCATTTGGAGTGCTAATTTTGAATGGACGTTCAGCCTATGCGGTAATGTGCAGTCTGAGTGGGGGGGGGGGCGGTTACGATATAATTGGGCAGTCTGTCACCCAGGCACTGCTTTGTAGGGCTTGCTCTGCACAGCTCAGGGTTCCCGGGCTGTAATAGGTTCCTGTAAGCTGCGTTACACATCTCTGTGTCTTAGCCACCAAAACCACATCGCTCCCAACCACTTCAGTCATATCGTGAGTCAGATCTGTGGGAAGGGACAAACTTGTCTCATCCAGACAGGGGAAAGGAAATAATATGTACATTATTGCCAGGTCTTCAGTTTTATTGTCCCTTTTACTGCAACTAGCAGAGCAAGCCCAGGGCTCGACTGCCACTGTTTTTCTTTTTCCCTCTCATTGTGATGGATGGGAGGAAATTGACCCTTTCATTCCTAGGCTGGCGTCATGGAGGGCTCCATTGGTGGTAGGTGTGGGCATGGACTGCTGGGGAGCTTTCTGCAAGCATGTGGAGCTGCTCATGGTATCTTACCAGCAGGCCTCTTTCCCCACTGCAGAAGCATCTTATAACCCATCCATGTCTGCCTGTTGGTGTAGAAAAAGGAAATAAATACATGTTGGAAAGATCAGAGTCAAATATGATTGGCTGCCCCTCTACATGACACATGTATCTTTAACTGATCTTTCGTACCTTCCTTCCTTCCTGCTGTAAGTTTTAAAGAAAGGAAGCCATTTTTGTGGCATGCACAACAACCATGTGCCCCTGCCATCAATCCAGGAAAGTGCCTTAGTTTATGCAGTGCAGTGGTAGCTCGCACAATTACCAACACTGGAGTGAGCAAACACATCCCATCATTTACACGCATGCGCGCGCGCGCGCACACACACACACACACACACACACACACAGGTATGTGGTATTGCAGGGAAGGAGGGCACCAAGAAGTGGTTTGGTGCCCCAAGCACCCCAGACAGGTGGCTTCAGAGCTGGTCTAAATTTTAGTTGACCAGGGTCATTTACCATTTCATTTTTATGTTTAAAAAAAACATTGTTAGGAAATAAGGAATGGAAGTTTGCAGCCTCAATTGTCCTTGTTATTTATACAAATAACACAACAACCTAAGTTAACAACTTCAGCTAGAAGATGGCATGGTCCACAGCCTAGTTAAGCTGGGAAAGAACTCCCCCGCCCCGATTTATATCCTGCCTTTTTCCTACAAAGGGCTCAAGGCAGCTTACATCATTCTCCTCCTCCATCTTATCCCCACAACAACCCTGTGAGGTAGGTTGGTCTGAGAGTCTGTGACTGGCCCAAAGTCACCCAGTTGGCTCCATGGCTGAGTGGGGACTAGAACCCAGATCGCCTGAGTCCCAGTCCCGTGCTCTTAACCACTACACCACACTGGCTCTCTACTTTAAGTAAATCATTCTTGGCAACCACATTTAATTGAGGGCACTTGAGCATTTCCACCAAGCACTCGGCTTGATCTGCATTGTGGAGCCGTCCTACACTGGATGCGGAGATGAAAGCAAATTAAAATAGCTGCATACTGCTATCCCACACTTTTGAATACAGGAAGTCAGAAAATTGTGATTTGCCTTACTTCGTTGTGTCATCCCAACCCAGTCAAGCTGTGGTTAAACTTAAATAGGTGTAGTGAAAGAAAGCCATTGAAGCTGGTGTGTTTACACTAACCCTAGTTAAGAGGAACCTCAGCTTAGGGTTTACGCTAACTGTGGTTGATTAATAATAGCTGCTGCTGCTGCTGTTATGGATGTAGTACTTTATTCAAGTGTGCATACAAAATACAATAAAGGAACAATTTCAAGTACTACATAATTACAATAAGTATAACAAACAGGATACAACATAACTACATAACTAAATCTAATAAAAGGTATATCTGATATACAGATTAAGAAGAAATCTTAAGTAAAACCCATTTGTTGTTGTTAGTCGCGAAGTTGTGTCCGACCCATCGTGACCCCATGGACAACATTCCTCCAGACCTTCCTGTCCTCCACCATCCCCCAGAGTCCACCTAAGCTCACACTTTATTGATGGGTAGGGCTGTAAATTATTCTGCTAACTTAACCAAATTTTTCTTCGTTTTCTTCTGCAGAAAAGGCTGCTAGAGCCCCTGCTGTTGTGATGCTTGGAGATAACACCCAGCATGTCCTTCTCGCCATGATGACTTGAGGCTTTCACTAAGTGGACCAACCCGCTTTAGCTGCAGGATTGAGTCCCAGCAGCACTGAGCTGCTTCCCTCCCTGCTTTCTATCACTTTTCAGTGGCTGCCAGTTTCCAGAAAGGTGTTTCTGTTCAAAGGCTTTGTTAATTGGTGTTTGGGTTTCTTATTGTTGCTTGCATTCAGTGCAGTATCTCTGGATTTCCAGACTGAGCTGTTGAAAGAACGCTGGGAGTTTCTTCTAGATTAACAAATCTTCTCAACTCAGCAAGTAGCTTGAACTTGACTTGAAGATGGTTCCTTGCAAAACAACTGCTGGTAACAAATGGGAAAAAAATGTGTGATGCTTAATTTGTAAGCCAAGGTGATTTCTTCTTACCCTTTAATAAACAGAGGTGTTCACTATAGCATATGTGAATGGCAGGAAAGGTTGTTTACTCTTGCGGTGGGAGTTAAGATGCTTTTTTCTATGCCTGCTAACATAGTACTATGATATTTTAATTCAACCAGGTTAGCTTAGGCAAGTTGCAATGTGCAAGGAAGGATTTTGAATGCGGGTAAGGGGTTTCCCTCACCCCCCAAATTTATTGCTCTTCTGCATTTGAATCATGTTACTATTCTTCAAGCACCATTATTTAAGTCATCCTGGTAAATTTACGTGTGACATTCACATGTTCTATGTATGCAACACATACATAAAAGAAAATGTGACATATACGAACAACTTCTGTTAAGGAAATGGAGAATCGCTGTACTCTCCTGATCTCAAGCAGCTGGGGCAGTGTAAGAATGTAAGCAGAGCAGGGTGAGGTTCCTGGCTCAAACCTCAGCCATGAGTTCACTAAGTGGCCTAGGCCAGACAGTGACTCTTGGACTCTCAGCCCTCATCTCAACTTAAGGATGCTATCAATGGCCTACCTTATAGGATTATTGTAAGGAGCAATACACAGGAAATACTTTGAATATTTGATAAGCCCTATAGAAATGCTAAGTATTATTTTACATTTCATATAAGAGAAGCAAATCTTGCTCCAGAAGTTTAAGCCATCGTGTTTATATTACCCTTATTATAGAAAATGTCAGTATGTATAATTAAATAAATACTGCAGGATCAATAGAGACGAGACATCCTGTAAGTTAGTATATTCTCCCTGGTCATGTACTGACAAAGTTCTGACTAAAGTCATAATGAAATTCCCCGTGGGAGGTTTCCTGTGTAGCATCTTGGGTCTGCATCTTCCCCTTATCCATTCTTTATCACCCTGATCTCTTTGGCATTGGAAGAGGGAGTCCTAGGTTACAATAATTAAGGGCCTTACCAAGAAACCTGGGCATGACATGTAATAACACAGTTATTGGTAAAGCAAGAGTATTTTCCAGATATCTGTATGATGGGTGAGACTGCTGTACAAATGATAATTGACATTTGTGACAATGCAACACTTAGTTTCTGTAATATTGAGCTCTTGTCTGACTAAACCTGAAGGTTAAATGTGCAAGGAGATTTCAATATAAACTTAGTGCCAGTATTAACATTTCCCCCACTGTTCTTCATAAAATGCATACGTAGCATGCAATTTTCAGTCTCAGCAAATGTGTATATCTGTCTGCGTGACTGTAATATTCAGATCATGACTTCTATCCATAGTGAAGATAAGGATGGCCCAGATCTTTCTAGAAATCATAATGATATGGTTTCAGTCTTCGGCTTGCAGTCCTGTGTTCACAAGATGTTCAGCCCATTCTGGCACAGTCTCTTGTCTCCTTAGGAAGGCTCGTGTGTCTGTATACACACAAGAAAAAATATACATGCAAATGTGTTACCCACACACATCATGTTAGATAATCCTGTGAGCCATGACTGAATTCCTGAAGAGGCCGAGTTTGTCCGATGGCTTCATTGCCCAGAGAACACCCTGTAGAATATTTTCATGGCTCCGCACTCACAGGAATTAGACCAAGAGCCATCCCATTGATTCAAAATGTTATGCTAGAATTTGGTTACGTGTATATTCGATGAAAGAATCAAAGCTTTCTATAGTCAGAGTTCTCAAGCCTTCTGTATTTGCTGTTGATTCAAAACAAAAAATAACCACACTGCTACATAAGTGAAGCAGCTGCAGTTATGTTCATTTTCAGACTTCCTGTCCTTGGCAATTTCAAAGGCTGTGGCAATAGCATGGATAGGCAGGGGTCCATCAAAACTTTAACTGCAGTTACCCCAGCTGTCAAATCCACCTCAAGACAAAAGAATGGTGAATCTCCCATTGGCTTCACAGCTATTTAGTCCACTCATTTAGACTTCTTTACTAAACGAGGAAGTAATAGTTCTGTGGCTTTTATTTGCCTATGAAATGTGCTGTAAGGACTTGCATGAAAATGGGAATTTCCATCCAGTAGAAGATAATGCAGTTCAGGGATGGATGAATGTACCAACTCTGTTTCTCTGTTTTTTTAAACTTACATTCAGTTCATCCCAAATGTTAAGAATGTACTTATTACCATAATTATTTTATTATTATTATTTTAGTCACAAAAATTCCTAAGTGCAAATTTCTCCTAATACATTCATTTTTGCCTAATATACAATTTTTGGAAACAATTTTCTTAATATAATGCATTTTACACAATAATTTCACTACACCTTATTTTACTTCTTATATTTTTTCAATTTAATTAAATTCACAATAAAATTAATGATAAAATTATTTTTTGCAAATATATGCATTTTGTGTGCATTTTCCCCAACATGCATGTTTTTAATTGGAGAACTCCATTGCAAAATTTGGAGAAGTGTGCATTTTGAAGAATAAGTGATTGTTGGTTTGCAGACTGGTTTGAATCCTCAACATAAAGAAATTCCCCTTCCTATGTTTGTGCTCTTCCTGGGGTGAAATGGTGGCAGTCAGATGCATCAGTCCACTTAATGGTAGAACTGGCCTTGATGGCAGAACATTGAGGATCTAATCTAGAAGCCTGATGGTAGCTATCAGCATCATACATTAGCTTGGACATGAAAGTGTTTCACAAGTTGGAGATCTGAATTTTGGATAGATTCAGCACTGATTGATCAGAGAAGTTGGAGGTAACACAGAGGTTGCAGTAAGTTGGGGTCAGGAGGTCACTGAGTTCAGTCATAGAGTAAGGTATAGGGAGGGCTGAAATGTGGTGAAGAAGCACACACACAGGCACACGCAGCTCCTTGGAACCAAGCGATTTGCCTGCAGAACCCTGGGAGGAGGGCCATACACAGCAAATTAAGTCAGGGCAGACGCACTGACTGAGTCTCTCCATGACCCTCAATGGTAGCATATGGAAGAGGCTCATCTTCACTAATAGGTGGCCACCAAATCCCGAGTCATTTAGTCTTATCCATGTATGTTTTCTAACCTGAACCATCAAATATGCTGATGGAATTCCTGCATCTGAGAATGCAACAGAACACCGGAAAAACGTAAGAGGCTTAAACATGATGTGATTTGTCTTTTTCAACTAGGGAACAGCACAGAGTTGCAGTTTCTGCTAATAAATATGAAGAGAAACATGTCAGGATTTGGAATCCAGCAGGCTGTAATCCCCAAACAGTTAACATTCTTGCAGTGTCACAAATACTTTCTACTTAAATCACTGATAGGAAACTGGGTGTGGTTTCCATGATGGTTGGGCCCTAATCACTTTACAGTGGCTTTCTACTTCCTTAGCAAAACTGTGCTTTCTCATCTGTGTTATCCCACTGATCTTTTAACCTCATTCACTCTTCCCACATAAGTTCATTAGGACTTAGCTCACACTTAGAACATGTGAAGTCACAGAAAAGATATTTTCTCTTTTGTATATAAACATTTTTCTGGAATAGTATCTCTTTCTCATCATGACAGAGCCAAAGTTTCTATAGGTACATTGGAAGTGGCCTTACACTGAGTCAGGTCAGTAGTCCATCTAAGTCATCTTTGCTGGCACTGAGTGGCAGTACTCTCCAAAATTTCAGGCAATGGTAGCTCTACCTGGATACCCAGGTAGACAGTCCAAGACCCTCTGCATGCAAAGCAGGTGTGTTACCACAAAGCTATGGATCCTTTAGGTTCCTAAGGAGGCATGAGCACAATTAGCCTCCACACTTGTCAGCAAGGCATTGTGCACATAAAATTGAGGAAAGTTATACTGGTAAAAGGAGGTACTGTGTTGTGTAGGGTTTTCCATGTTTCCCATGGAAGTTCAGTAGATTGCCAGAATTAGCATGGAAGTGCAATTGTTTGTGTGAGGCTTCAAGCCAAAGCCTGCAGGGATTTTATGAGAACTCACATACTTCAGAAGGTAGTTCATGAGGACTCATGGACATATAGGGTTAATTAATTACTGGTTCAATAGGCAGGGAGGAAATGGGCAATAGGCAATGATCCAATCATATACTGGATGTCACCTCTTTTTCCTCTGTCCTTGATCAATTCTATATCACAAAAGACAAAATGGTTCAGTAAAATCAATACTGCAAATGGGATGAGTTAGAAGATGTGTGTCAGTGTCCATGTGACAGCAACAGCCCTTGACATGCTTACCTGTATACCTCTGACCCTCATCTGCTTTTAAGTATATATGTCAGGGGTAAAAATGGTGGCAAGTGCCTTTGAAATGTATGTTGCCCTCAGAAAGAAAGGATGCTGTATCTTAACACATCATTTTCATTAACAGGAACATGTGGTGGTGGTTATGAATAGCAGAAGTGAGGCCTAACATTGCATGAATCTACAGTAGGAACATTTAGTGCAAGGGTTCTCAAAGTGCCGGACAGGGTGCACTTTCCTCCCAAAGTTTAAGCCTCCACAAGTTCAATGAAGAGGCAGCCAAGGGAGAAAGAGCACATACTTTCTCAGTCCCCAAGAGGGCAACACACCAACCAACAGTTGTAACTGATGTTACAGCTAGAAGCACTGTTAAGTAGAGACTATGTGGACTTGAGAGAGAGA